TACAGTAAGTTCTCATAAGAACCCCTCGATTTTCATCTATTTCCATAAACGCCCCCTTGATTTCCCCTCTGTTTTCATAAGCGCCCTGTTTAAATAAGCGCCCTGTTTGAATAAGTGCCTGTACGGTAACCACTGTGTGTATGTACAGTAACCATAGAGATTTTGTGTCCCTTGTTAATTCCATCAATAAGTTCTCATAAGAACCCCTCGATTTTCATCTATTTCCATAAACGCCCCCTCAATTTCCCCTCTGTTTTCATAAGCGCCCTGTTTGAATAAGTACCTGTACGGTAACCACGGTGTGTATGTACAGTAACCATGGAGATCTTTGTGTCCTACTTTGAAATTTTATATACATAGTGCACTATTTTTTGGAATGTTCGTTTTAATAGTTACTTCAATGTAAAATTAGGTAAATTTACTGCCGAATATTAAAACCAAACAGTACTAGTTATAGGCAAACTTAATTCGAAACAAAGTGAAGATTAGTCTGCAGTGACTAGAATTGTTGGGAATGAGGTCAGGGTTGTTTTTGATTTGAAGTAGATAGAAAGTATTCTTATTGGAAAGGATGTGATTGTTCCTCGGTGTACAGTACTGGCCACTGCACCAAGGTTGCTCCGGCAGCTTTTGTGGTCTCCAGGTACAAGCTTGAATTTGTTAACAAGGATAAATGGGTTAGTTTAATATGTTGTAGAGTCATTTATCTCTATAGTCCACCATATTAACATGATACTCTTTCTGTAGAATCGTGTGTGGCAGCGTGATCAGCGTGACATGCATCCTTTGCAGCCCGACAACCTTTACTCTCATGAGGTAAGTTTTCCTTTTTACACATGTTGTGTGCTGTGCAGAGTTGAGGAACAGGGACGATTAAGAACACATTGAGGCAAAATAATGCAGGCGTCACTTTGAAGCCTGGACCCACCCTCCTCAAGTCATCACCTTTCTTCAATTATTCATAATGTCAGGATTTCACCATCACTTCATTTGCTTCACCAAAAATATAGGTGAAGTATCACTCTATCTGAAAATTTGTTAGTTCAGGTTTCACCCTTTGACTTTTTTTCATAGGGTGAAGCTTCACATTTTGAGTTTTTGGCAGCTCTGAAGCTTCACCACTGTTTCATCATACTGGCCATTTGCATAGTTCAAGCTTCACCACTGTTTCACAATATTGGCCATTTGCATAGTTCAAGCTTCACCTTTCAAAAGCTTCACCAATGGTAGCTACTAGACGAAGACTGCAAATCATAACATCTGTAATCCCACACTAATCAAAAAGTACGTAGTCAACCAGGTTTGAGATAGATACGGTGACATATTTTTATTTTTATAAAACTTTAATAAAAAGCTATAAAATGTGTACAAAAGTTGTTACCGGTATAACTCTAGTTTAACTTTTAACTACTGTATTAAACACTAAGTCATTCCATCTAATGTAATTCTCTTACTTGATGAAACAAAATGTTCATTCCAGACAAATTCCAGGTTTGTGTTGTTAGATTTTGACATTGTGTTCATCAACTACAATACAAAAATAATAAAGTTGCATTTTCATCATCAGTATGAGTTATTGTGTAACTTGTTTTTACTAAATCTAAACAAGTAAATGTTTCTAAACATACATACACTATTTTATGCGCTACAGTATTTAGAGAGGCTCTTCTTTTTTCTTTTTGATTTCAGAGGTCAAATATATTTTTCATTTTTTTACAATCATATAGTGGTGTTGACTAGTCTTTTGAGAACATTTTCCTGTAAAATTATTTCATTCCGACATTCCGTTATGGAGTTATATTTTTTTTAAATAACATGATGTCCGAAATCGATTCGTGGAGTTACTATAGATAGACCTGAAAGGCAGACAATCAGTAATTTTCCTGGTTATTTGATCGAAAATTACATAGCAATAATAGTCACAAAAGAAATGTTATATACTAATGAACATTATATATTTTTGACTACATTTCAAATTTAATTTCTCTGTAGGCCTAAATACTTCTCTTGTTGGCCGAAACTTCCCGTTACTCAACAATATATTATGACAACATGCATACGAATCCCCAGGCACATGACTTCGTCGTGGGTGTCAGTGTCACTGAAAAAAAAGAGCGTTCACAAAAATGTCACTAGCTTTCATGTAATTTACTGTCAATAAAATATGTCATTCTGAGTCTATCAATTTCAAGTAAATAACCAACATAAAATGCCCATAGAATGTTCATATTTCGATGGGTCGACAAATTGGATAAAAATAATAGTATTTTCACTTTACCAGAATTCTGACGTTATTCCCCATGTCCTTGACAACAACGCACATGTTCCGTATTTTATCTTGGATCTGCTTTACAGGATTTCGTCTTATGACGAAATGCTTTCATTTAATTGTTATATATTATTTTTAATTTGTATGCATTACAATACCAACATGTCAATTTATTTCACTATAATATTGCAATGTTTTATAAAGTTAGTTAATGTAAAAAAACATGATTCATTCCAGAATGGATCCATTCTAGTTGTTGCAGGGAAGCATCATTGAGGAGAGGAAGACCTCGTTTTGACCTTTGACCAGTCTTGAATTCTGGTCAAACATGTCGAAAAGCCTGTAAATATTCATAATAATATAATAAGCCTGTGTATATAATAATAATAAACATAGGCCCAGTTTTGTTATTTATTTCTAAATTCAGCAATCTATTATTAATTAATCAAAAATTACTTAATAATCTGCCATATATTTATTTGGGACGAGATGGTTTTGAGATGAAGAATCCGCGGTCAGCACATACTACTGGCCTAAGCATGCGCAGGTTGCCGACACGCTTCATGATTTCGTAGTAAACTTGGCACCGAGCCGCGTGTAGCCTGAACATGTTCACGATGATTTCCACATTTTTTTGACATGACCGATGTAGCGGATTCAATGTCACATCACCATAACACACAAATTATTCGTCAAAGCTTCACACCATTCATCAACTTTCATAGGTATGCATTCGATCTCCCATCACCAGAAAATACAAATTACTCGTCAAAGCTTCACACCTTTCATCAAATTTATAGGTAAAGCTTCACTCAATCAAGATAGAAGAACGTTAGGACTTCACTACAACAGCAAATTAATTGACCTTAGGCTTCGACGTCGAGTCGACGTTGATATTTGGCGACCTCTGAGGATGGTGGGTCCAGGCTTCAAAGTGATGCCTGCATAAGATTTAGAGAAGGTGGTCAATGAAAGTTTGATATGTGATGAGTAGGTGAGGTACAATAGAGTAAGTTTGGCATTAGGTAAGGTAAAGTAAGTTTGGCATTAGGTAAGGTAAAGTAAGTTTTGCATTAGGTAAGGTAAAGTAAGTTTGGCATTAGGTGTGGTTTAGAGAGTTGGAAAAATAGATGTGGTAGACTGAGTTTGAGAGTATTGTACAGTGAGTTTTTTTAGAGCATTGTAGATGGGGCAGATGGAGTTTTACAGTTGTGTAAAAGTAGGGGGAAAAAGTAATTCTAGCATATTCTGTGTTGTTTCCCTAGATGGTCTGTCCTTGTGAAATGATTGACAATCCAATAAATGCTGTATCAACCAAATTTGTACGCACAGCCACCAACAAGATTCGATGTCCAATTTTTTGCGTTGTGGTAAGTTCAGCCTGAAATCATAATTTGTATTCAGTGTCATTTGTTTAAAATTATTATTTTTGATAAACTAAATCTCACTTTAGAAAGGCCCCTTATTTTGATTAGTTAGTTGATTATACCTCTGGGTTTTATAGTTGCTGAAGTCCCAGCAGTGGTCTTGGACAAACAAGACCTTGTAGATAAAACTAAAGAAATAGTTCAACTTCAAGCAGCGTATCGTGGGTACTTTTTAATTTATAGTATATTATTCAAAAAAAAAAAAACAAACCACCATTTATTAATAATATAAACTCTGAATTGGAGAAAATTGTAAACTGTAAAGGCATTATGGATCTGTAAGTTCACCTATTTGGTATATGTTTATTCATCTGTCTGTATACAGTATCCATCTTTATCCATCGAATAATTTCTTCCCTCACTCTCTATTTCCATTCGTTTGTCATATATGCACCTACCAATTTATCCTGCCATCAATGTATCAAACGTCATCATGACGTCGGGGATGATGTTGTTGTTATTGCCGACTAAGTGTTAAGACCGTCTAAAGACCGCTTATAGCAATGCACCCCAGGGCTTTAATTCGAGGTTTTACGGTATGTCTATTCATCCATTCATCTACCTACCCATCAATGTATCTGTCTGATCCATTTTCCAATCCACAGTTGCCAAATATATAGAAGAACCATTCAATCTAATTATAAAAATATACTTTAGTCAATACTATCACAATGAATAAGTTTTTTCCATAGTTATTATTGTTAATTTCAGTGGACTCCTGAAGGACGTCGACTAGTAACCGGTGCATCCAGCGGGGAGTTTACACTTTGGAATGGCATGACTTTCAACTTCGAAACTATCTTACAGGTAATTTTACTAAGCATAATTTGTGCTCTAAAATCCAAAGTTATCATTTAATGTTGTTATTGTTATATTTTTTTAGAATATATATTTCAATCATCCATAAATAATAATAATAATAATCTAATTTATAATCTAGATAAAAATCTATTCATCTTCGTGCCCCACTATATGTTTGTTCACTTATTGAGAAACATGTTTCTTCTTGTTCTACTCGTTCTTCTCAATCCTTTAAACTTGTTACTCCACGAGTCAAGCCTTCTCTGTTCCTAAATTCTGGAACTCTCTGCCCCTTTAATTACGTATTATCTGGTCAGAAATTATTCAAATCCAGTTTTAAATCCTTCCTCTTCAAGTAGTTCAACTTCTTTCTAACATCTTCCAGCGCTGGTGACAAGCCAGTTTTTGTTTGCTGTAATAGGCGCTTTAAAAATGTGTATTATTATAATAATAATAACTAGATTTGAACTCGTCACTGAGGATGAGTTTGGTGATCCGCTGCACTTTGACCATCAGGAAGTGCGTGCGGTGCAGATTGAAAAGTTTTATACTAAAATATGCTCTAATTAGTTTTTTAAAAAAGAGTAATTTTGGGCATTTAAAAGATTTACGCATACATACGCCTTGACGCCCGTGTGCACGGTAATGGTACAAAAAGTTGACTCCTGACATGAATACAGTGTCAGAAAGCCAAAATATGTAACAAAACGTAATTTTCAGCTTCGGTACGTGTTGTGCACGTAGAAATGAGCGTACGGTGCGTAAATTACGAGATTTTTTATAAATTTTGAGATATCGTGCTAACAAAAAATGCGGAGAAAGAAAGAATAAAAAAAGAAAGATGATGATGATCCTGACAATAACAAGAGGTGATCCGCACTAGATGCGGATCACCAATAATAATATAGGTTTTTGGTATAGTGCCTTATAATTGTCTCTCAGAGTGCACACAAATGTAAAGAATAAGAAAAAACAAATTAAGTAGTGAAAGATGCTGTTTTAGGCAGTGAATGACGTTGCCTCAATAAATATTGCCAGCTGTTTCCATAATATTAGTACTCTGGCAGAAAAAGGTTGAAGTCATATTTTTTATTTTAGATGTTAGAGGTAATTAGTATTCGATAAGAGGATCTAAAAGTAAACGGCCAGATAAAGTTCAGATAAATAGTGTTATGCTTTGCCATCAAGGGGGCCTTGAAGGTTAAAAAAGATCGTTATAATACTTTCCATACATTTAGCTATTTCTTTTTATGCCGTTTAGGCACACGATTATCCAATTCGTTCCATGGTTTGGAGTCACAACAACCTCTGGTTGATGAGTGGAGATCACATGGGCTATGTGAAATATTGGCAGTCAAATATGAACAACGTTCGCATGTTCCAAGCACATGTTGACCAAGCAATAAGGGAAATAACGTAAGTAAAATAAGTATTTGTAAAAACAAAAAAAAAAGGAAAATAACAAATAATACAACAGTAAATGTTGTGATCTGGAGATCGTATTTTCGAGTCCCACCCGAGAACAACTTGCAATTTTTTTTTGCAATTTTTTTCATACGTACTGAGTATTCAGTACATTTCCACGTCAGGTAGGGCAAAATTACACCTCAGTAAAATACTTACCAGAATTCTTAATTTTGTTTTTGGAGTGAAGTAGTTTTTATCATGGGAAAATATCCTGATGTTTAGCAGGTTTTCACCTACTGTAGGACTATAGAGAATATAAGTGTAGCATAAAGTTTAGTTACTCAATAATTAAAATTTAATATTTGTTCTTCTCCATCAATAATGCTCTTGTAATTCTAAAAAAAAAAAAAGCACAGTATATATTTTGATTGGATTATTTTTTACTGATGTATTATATTTCCTGACAGGTTTTCACCAACTGATTCTAAATTTGCTACCTGTTCAGATGATGGATCTGTTAGAGTTTTTGATTTCTTTCGCTGCCATGAGGAGAGGATCTTGAGAGGTCAGACCTAATTTATTGCTGTTGAAAATGAGGATGTGATTTGTTACCAAGTTCTAAAGACTTTTAGACCTTTATACACCATTTTATTGAGTCTATTTTGAAACAGCACCGCCATTGTCTCGCAATTTTTCACTGGGAGTGGTGGGTGGGGGGAACATTCAGTAGCCTAGCCTGAACAAATTTAGTTTATCCAGACACATGTTCTTTTGAGTACTTCGACAACCAAAAACACTGCATGTTTATACCTTCTATTTTTTTTTTTTTTTTTTTTTTTTTTTGGCATTTTGTTTTCAAAGACTATCCTAGGCCTCTACAGCAACAAGGTCATGCACCAGTCACAGAGCACTGAAAACACTGGTAACTACGTAGACCAAAACGCCTAGGCCTCTCGATGTCCCCCAGTGGTAGTTTCCAGGTTCTTGGAAATTTTAATTTCAAATTTAGTGAAAGGGATTTATATTGATATTGAGAAATATGAGATTTAAAAAATTTCATAGGTTTCTTTTTTTTTTTAACTGCGGACTTTTCTTCAACATTAGGGCATGGTGCTGATGTCAAGTGTTTAGATTGGCATCCACAGAAGAGTATAATTGTCTCAGGAAGCAAAGACAGTCAACAACCAGTCAAACTGTGGGATGCGAAGAGTGGGTTGAGCTTGGCTACAATACATGCCCACAAAAGTACTGTCATGTCTGCCAAATGGAATCGCAACGGTAACTGGTTACTGACAGCTTCAAGGGACCATCTGGTGAAGGTGTTTGACCTGCGAGCAATGAAAGAGATGAGCATCTGCAGAGGTCACAAGAAGGAGGCCACCTGTAAGTAGAGAGCAGCTTAGCATCATAACTAGAAGTCAAGGATCTTATAAACACAAAATAGCGTTCTTCGTGATGTGCACGTAACAAATAGGAGCGTCGATTTGGCAGAAAAGTAATCACTTTTGGGAGAGGCTATGGTCAGAGTTCAAAAGTTTTCACTTTTGCAAGAGGGCTCCGAACAATGCGTTATTACAGAATTTGCATGCAGAAATCGCAGAGAGCGCTATCTTGTGTTTATAAGATCTTTCCTGGAAGTAACCACTGTGTGTTCCTAACGGAAGAGATATTTACCTAACCTTGGTCCAATTCCAATCACTGAACTCCTTGTGTGGCAACTGAGAGGGCTAAAATGCAAGTTTTAATAGTGCAGTTTTCAGATGGGATGTTTAACCTGCAAAAAAATTCTGTACACTGTTTAGAAAAGAGTAGTGGATTATCTTACATTGGACTGCCCAATTCAACATCAGAAGGACCCCACTCCAAATATGCCTTCAGACTTTCATAGTATTCCACACTGAAGCAATCAAAACCAAAATCAATGCACTATTAGTGATTTTAAAATGTATACTAGAAATCCATACTTACAATATCTTCACTTTCTGATATTCTTAATGAACCTGCTATATTACTATTATATGTTAATTAATTATAATTGATTAGGTTGTTCTTGTTGGTCTCAGAAATCTCTATAAACATTTGTATTGCATGTTAATAGGTGTAGCTTGGCATCCTTATTTTGAAGACATTTTTGCAAGTGGTGGATCAGATGGATCACTATTATACTGGCAAGTTGGGTAAGTTCTGAAAATATTTTTTTTTATCTATATTAACTTGCAAACAATAATCTTCCTTTTATAGAAGTTGGAAGTCTTCCTTTTGATTTTGTTTCACAAACCTATCGTTTTTAATGAACTCTGTTATTCAATTGCAAATGGAAGAAAATAAATGTATTTTTGAATTGAATTGAATTGGAATGCAATAAAATTGCTAATTTAATAGCAATAGTGATGCTTTGTGGGTAATAGAAACTAGACAATCCTCTTAAATTTTGTTTGTTTTTGTTTTCTTGAAGGCATGAGAAGGAAGTCGGTGGAATAGAGCAAGCCCACGATAGCATTGTCTGGAGTCTGGCTTGGCATCCTCTTGGTCATATACTCTGCTCCGGATCTAATGACCACTCTACGTAAGTTCATATTAGTTAGACATGGATAATCAAATTCTCAGAGTGCAGCTTAGCTCAGTCATCTAAACTGCTGAAACTTATAACTTGATCTCTGGTTTTATTTTATGGCACTTCTAGATGGCTGGCAATGGCACTCTTAGACTAAAAATTTGAAGGTTTTTTTTTTCCCCATATTTTTATTTGTAATTTTGAAAAGTAGCTTATAGCTCCATAGATTCAGTCAATAAAAATCCCTTGTATAGAGCCAGTGCCACCAAATTTCGGCCCTCACTGTGAATTTTGCATCCCAGATTTAAGTAACGTTTTTGAATTGAATTTGGTGCACTACAGGCTGAATTTTATATACAGGCAGACAATATCCAGGGGCAGAATTCACAAGAGATTTGTTTTAGCCCTGAAGACCTGTCCAGACTATCAAATTGTATTTGACAAAAACTTGTGACATGCCTAAGTATAGTCATGTCTGACATCACATCATGAGTATATATGGACATAGAACAGTTTTTCTGAAAAAAAAAAGTATATAGCCATTAGTACACATATTCAAATTATGTTTAAATGTTTTTGAAAAAAAATTGCCTGTGTTTACAGAAAATTTTGGACACGGAATAGACCAGGTGATAAGATGAGAGATAAGTACAACTTAAACACCTTGCCGCAGGGGATGTTTGATGATGCCGAGTATGATGATGACAATGTGACACTACCAGCTATTCCAGGAATGGGTCTCGATCAGAGCACAAAGGAAATGCAGGAAGAAGGTAGGGAGCACTAAGTTTAGCAGTCTTTGGCCTAAAAATATATATTAATAGAAAATTGGTCACCAATCATGATATATGTAAATTTTTTTTTTGGATTCAGAGGACCCTGCTTTTGCTGCCGTTATTCCTGGCCTGGACTCTTCAGCCGAGGAACTTGCCCAACTCAAACCAACACCCCAACGCAAAGTACCATATGCCAAGCCTATTCCGGCTGATTTTCAAAGAAAATGGGAAGCAAAAAAAGCTCCAGGAATTGCACCAAAGGAAGTGCTTGACAAGGAAGTTTCACAAGGTAAGTGAATGCAGCTTGGTGATTAAGATGCTTATCTTCCAATCTCAGGATCCTGAATTGAAATCATGTGAAGGACAATGTTCTCTACTCCTTAGGCGCGATCTACAAATTATCCCCAACGACAGAAACGGGTCAAACACGTTTACTATTGTTATATGACAAGCTCCCAAACGCGTCTGTGAAATGCCGTTTGGAAGCTTGTCGTTCGAGCCGTTTATTCCGTTTGGAAGTTAACTCCTCCCCTTTTCATATAGCTGACTGCTCGTGAATGGCAAATGTTAAACACGTTCAGCGAAATTTGCTGTCTCTTATACACATCTAGATGTGTATAAGAGACAGCTTCTGTATCTGTTAGTTCACTGTAGTATTAGAGGTGTTTGGGGGTGACAGCCTGACAAGACAGTAAGTGGACATGGTTGGATGTTGATGGGTGGGGAGGGTGACTCTCCCAGACGGGGCCCTAACCCTCCGTATGCACCCCCCCCCCAACTGGTGCCACCCTGAACCCTTGGATCGACTAGCTTATTAATATTCATGAGGCACGATAATTAGACGATCGCTTTCCCAGACGCGTTTGTAATACATGGTTTTCCCAGACGCGTTTCTGTCGTTGGGGATAATTTGTAGATCGCGCCTTAAGGTTTATATATTTGGTGAAATTTTATTATTTAGTATAATGTAAATTCTCATGTTTTATTATAATAATTTTATGAAATGTAAAAATATAAATGGTTTAAAAATAATTATTGTTACCATCACAAATATAATCCCAATCTCACCACATCATTTAATGTTCAGAATCTTGGGTTTGAGTCGTAATGAGGACAGTATGGGTATTATTTTTAAATATGATTATAATGTACAATATTACTTCATTATCATTAACCCCAATAAGGCACAAATAAAATTTTGATGATAAATATGGTAAACAAAAATATTATATAAAACAGAAAATGTTGTTAGCAGATGGGACAATGTTGCTATGAGAACTGCAGATTTTTCCCAATTTCAATGGCATAGGGATGTTCAGTGCAGTCAGTGCAAAGCTATAGGGCACAGGGGTATTATGGGCCCATTCATAAATAGGCTTAAAAATAATAATTAAAAATAATTTTCAACTTAACATTTTTGAAGAAAAAAACTGCCAGTGGACCTCTCAATAATATTTAGGTTTTTAGAGGAGTAACAATTTATTACTTTGTTGATTTCAAGAAATAAATAAAAGAAAAGAAAAAATTATATAACATATTTAAGTTTAAGTCTTAGAGTGCCATTCCACCATCCAGAGGTTCCATGATCATAAATTGTCAGCACCCACCGTAGTGGGGCTAAGGTGGTCCAGACGCTCCAGCTGTGAAAATCCCTCCATGTGCCCTATTTTGAATTCCTGAATCCATAATTGCAATTATTTATTTTTACATGCCAGCAATTTTCTTGATTAGTTTATAGCTGCTGTGACCGCATAGGCCCCTCTTGAAACAGTTAGTTTTCCGCTTATCATTAGTTTTTATTACTAGCCATTAGGGATAGATGGTAAAAAGAAGTAATTCTGTCGATGAATTTTCTGAAAATGTGAAATCAGTATCTAGTTCTAAAATTTTTATTCTTAAATTCAAAATTTGACTCTTGAAAATTTAAAATGTTTGAGCTTGCAGAAGCCCAGGGGAAATTAACGTCTTCTCCCCCACTAGCCATAATTCAGGCCTACAGCCCTAGGTAGACGCTTCACATCAAAGAGCTTGGCAATTAATCTTCCACTGGAGCCTGTTCTCTACGCCGCTGTCCAATTTTGTGTGTTGCAAGTTCGTTGCAGAAATTATTACTTTTGCATAATTTGATGAAAAAGTAAGCTAAAAATGTACAAAAAGAGAAACCTTGTATGGTTCATGTTTATTGATTTTGGTTGTATTTCTATTCAATTCAGGTCAAAAAGTTGAAACTGATAAAGATGGTACCAGTCCCACTAAGCACAGCAGTCACACTCAGAAAAGTAACACTCCTCAAGCAGCCTCAGGCCCTACAATGAACTCTTCAAAGAAACCTCAAATTAATTCAGGTCCTTTGCAGCAAGGCCCTGCTGGTAAAAAAATGCCACCTCCTACAAGCCAGCCCAAACCCGGTCTGCTTGGTACACATCCAACATCTGTACCGCCAAGTGATGGTCCTAAGACTGGTCTCTTAGGTGCAGCACCTCCTCAACCGGACACACCTGTACATGATGCTGGACCATTAGGAGGTGATGTAGACATGCGACATAGGTTGTCAGATGTGGACATGAGAAATGTACCTATAAGTGGGCTGGGAAGACCTATTGAGGGTAGGCTTGATGGTCCACCTAGGGATGGTCCACATAGGGATGGGCCACCTAGGGATGGAGCACCTTGGGATGGGCCACCTAGGAATGGGCCACCAAGAGATGGTCCACCTAGGGATGGGCCACCTAGAAATGGGCCACCTAGAGATGGTCTTCATCACAATGGACCACCTGGGGAAGGCCCACATTTTAATTTACCATCTAGAGATGGTCCTCACCAGGAGGGGCCACCAAGGAATGACCCAGCTGGCCCCCCACGTGATCGTGATATGAGATCAAATCCTCCGTTTCACGATGAGGATCTTCGGCCATTTTCTTCCGGTCATGGTGAACCACCTCGTGATTTTGACGCTAGAGGCTTCCGCAGTCCTCCTAGAGATGAAGATCTGAGAGGTGCAAGGCTTCAACCGTTTAGGGGTCCTGGACAGCCAGGAACAGGAGATCATCGGCATGACATTCCTCGGGATATGGACTTGAGAATGGATAATTTTGAAAATAATGATCATAGGACTTTTATGCATGGTGGAATGAACAAGGATGACCATGAATTATATCACGGACGGTTACATGCTAGAGGTGGTATCCATCATGGAGGTCAGAGGCCAGGGGTCGGCAGAGGTGAACCAGAGCCAAAGCATGAGCAGAGATATTCCATTGATCGAGCCTTTTCTCAAGAACATGATGGACTGCCACACAGAGGGGTTAAAAGAGGTTTTAATGAAGAGAGAGAAAGAGGTCCAGGAATGGGAAGAGGGTTTCCTAGAGGTGGTGGATATCAAGGTGGAAGAGGTGCCCCAAGGGGTGGAGGACCATGGAGGAATGACAATATGGGTAGAGGGAATTATAGGGGAAATTATAGGGGTGGAAGGGGAAGAGCAAGGTGAAAGCAACTTTCAATTTGTACAGTTTTAATCTCACTGAAGTAAGGGAAGAGAAGCATCTGGTTACTTATACCCGATTCACATGTGAAGTTAAATTTAACAAAAAGTAACGAATTGTAACCGAGCCATCTCCCGAGTTATTCCCAAGATTTATAGCATTCACACGCGTCTGTAAGGTAATGCTAAGGTCGTGTAAAATTTACCGTATTCAATTTTATTCAATGAATCATTTTTGCCCCTACTGCGATATAGGCCTAGCCTAGGCCCCCTGTCATAGATGGACTGTTGAACTCACCATCACAATAAACATTCGAAGCAATCAAAATACCCTTAACAACTGCTGTACTACTACTACTAGGCCTAGCTTCCGACATTTCTGTCGACTCTTGGTAATACTATTACTAACACCATCCCGATGTTTGTGTATGTATCATCTTCTTCTACAATTACTAATTAACATCGATAACAAGGGTAATTCATCCATCATTGAGAAAAACTAGGCCTATCTATTTCTAGTGGATCGGAATCGTCTGCAGAAGGAAGAAAATTCAAGGGACCCCGCGAAACAGTAGTATTGTTGTTGTTGTTTTGGAATTCCTGCGCATGCGCAGATCCATCCATGCTACATCTCGGAAGCTTTACCAGCCTTAGCGAGGCTGGTAAAGATTACCGAGACGTTCCAAGATTTTACAATGATATTACACAGAGGTACTTTCACATGTGCCGTAAAATGTTACTTTTGGTTACATTTGTTAAGATTTTTGTACATGTGAATCGGGTATTAGACAACATACCAAATGTAATGACATAGGATCCAACGCTCAGTAGCTTAATCTGTGTCATGTTGATGAGATCGCTAATTAATGACTGCAGCTGTCCTACAAGCCAAACTTGCATCAAATTGTGTGCCCTCATTTGATAGGAAGTTTGTAATATGAATTATTTTAAGGCATGCTCAGCTGATACATAGGTTTTTTTTATCATTAAAAATTTACTTGTCATTATTTACAGACCCGTAGCCAGGTTCTTCCGGGGTGGGGAGGTTCCTTTGGGTGTGGGGTCTAGGGTCGAAGCTACAGTGGGGTTGGCGAAACCACCAAAGCCAGACGATTTTTGTGCTTTATGGGGTCTAAATAATCTTAATTTTCAGGGATTTGTTTTTACGACTAATACTAATAGTTACAAACAAATAAAATATAATTTTTTTTGTTATAATTCCAGCCAAGAGTTTCATACTTAAATATACTCCTTTAATAAAAGTGTCCATACATTTTGTTTATGTACAGTATGGTCAATCTTACATATTTGGTGGGTTTACATTATAGTGGAATGGGAAATGATATGTAGCACATGAAACAAGTCTTTTCATGTAAAAAAAAAAAAAAAAAGGAAAATTGAGATAGGCATTGTACAATGCACATTACAATGTATTGGAAATGCTAATTAATTCATATCTATACTCCGACTGATACAAGTTTTTAATATTCCAGAATAGAAAGGGGTGCAAAGACATACTCTGCAGAGGGCTGATATTTTTTCTCCTTTCATCCATCTCTATTCAAAATGCAGGCTTTTAATTATAAGAGTGTGTACAATATTAACCACAACATGTGAATGTGATCAGTATGAGCTAGGGTCAGAATTAGGTAGAAGTCTTCTCTAGCTAATTGTGTCACACCATCTTAACAGGTTCCTGTCCACAATGTCGAATTTTAGGTTACAAGTACACGTGACTTACTGATTAAGTACAGTGGGTATGATATGGCATCATTGTGCACTTAATGGGGAAATCACGAATATTTTTTACTTTAAACATGCAGTAATAGTAGTGAATATTAGTTGTGAGATGCATAATCTGCCACCGTTTTGCAAAGGATGTGCACATGCTTGCAGGGGTGGCGCCAGCAGGGTGGCTTAATCCCCCATCGGTCTGGTCAATCCCCCCATCATACTGCCTACGCCAAGCAAAATCTGTCTCCGCAAACGCTTTGTCTGGGTCTGATCAGTCAAGCAGAACATTTAGAAGTCCCAATTTTTAAAAAAATCTTGTTTTGTGAGGAGGGCATACCCACCCCTGGCTGGGGCCTTTGGCCCTCAGATAACGCTGCGCGCTATAGCTACACCCATAAATACTTAACCCCAGTCGGACATCTTAGCCCCCCATAAATTATATCCTAAAGCCGCCCCTGCATGCTTGGTTTACACAAGACTTTTTTCCCTTTTTATGTTTTTGAGGTAATTTCCCTGAAACAATTTGCGCACACAACCTTTGCATCTCTTCCTTTGATCTAGTGAGCATGCTAACTATTATTGCAATGCACTATTGCGGCTTGATGTGATATATAATTGTGTTCAAATCGAAATGAAACATTTGTATACCTACTATATTTGCTAGTTCTTTTATAGCTAATTTAGAAGTGTTCAGGTGTTATTGATTGCCTCAGATCTCAGAATCACTTAAAGGTTCCAAATTTAAGAATTAGACTAAAGCTGAGCACTCACCGTGTCTGGCGGTCATTGGCCGACGCAATTCTAAAAAGTGCGCAGTGGATTGTTTTCTAATGACGATCCATTCAGACTGACACCAACAATAAGCAGATGGCGCTGTGTCCTCTATTGCTCAAGGGGAGCAGAGGAGGAGACTCGTGCAATGGTCGCAACAGATCGATTTTAATGACAATCCGTTCAGACGGCCACCGACAATCAGGAGACGGCGCTGCGTTCTCTGTTGATCACGGGGAGCAGAGTCGTACGATGCAGTGAGTTCCAAGCTTTAGGTTATGCTGTTACTTTCTTGGATTTTTTTTACCACCTACCATTATGTAGCTCCTACAGTAAGGGTTGAATTTTATATGAAAAAAAAGTTTTGGCATATACCAAATTCTCCCCAGGGGTGTATGCAATGCTGGTGGTGCACTGGGTCATGGGCTCCCCCGTTTTTCCAGTACATTTCCCCAACACTATGTACTGTACTAATGATGCTAATGAAAGTAGTGTCACTGATTAATGGTTCAATAGTACCCACGAAAGCAGAAAGATAATGATCAATACAAATGAGGGGAAAGGGTTTAGGTACTGTAGGACCACAGTCTGTTTTTTTGTGAGAAGTAAAATTTGTTGTAGAAATTTGAACATGAAAGGCAGAATACCATATAAATAGTTTAAGGAAAAGTAAGTGGCTCTGTGCGCACCCAGTGTTTGTGAGGATTTTCAGCAGGAGGAGTGGAATGGACCGTTCTGCTAAGCCTAGTCCCTTGGTTATTGCTGCCAAGATCCCACAAATAATGACAGTGTACAAACATACGCCAACATGTGTGTTTGTCAGACAACACATGTATTTTTGGCCCTTGTTCTAATTGGCCAGTTGTTAAGTTTGATTGGCACTACAGAAATCGCTGTTGTTTGTTAGACTGTAAAACAGGAAAGTTTTGTATTAAACTATAGCATTTATGCTGAGTGTATTTCAATCTCTGTTATCAATATTTTTTTAAAGAAAGTATAATTGTGGTCACTGTAAATCAAATTTCATGAAAATAATAAATTTGTATGAAAAAAAAAATAAGGAAAGTTATTCTTTCATTTGGATTTATTTCTGGTAAATAGAAATTCCATTTGTATTACGGTACATAGTAGAATTAAATGAATACAGTATATTATCATCATCGTCATATTACTTATTCATATATTAATATAGTGCCTTTTTTCAGAATCTGTATAAATGGCAATGTGAAGTACTTCTGTCCTAGGTCATTGGGTCCGCATGTGTAAGTAAATCACATCTGTGTGTTCTTGTGGTGGGGGTGAAAAGCCTGAGGGCCCAGCTAACAGGATCCCTGGCATGTGCAAAAATAAAAGCTGATTCTATGGTTAGCTTTTTTTTAAGCCTTAATATTCATAATGTTCTTAAGTTGGGTCCCACAAGTTTTCGTTCCACGACTTGTTGCGCAACTGTGCAGCATATGTGGGTGTGGTCCGTCTATCGGGAAAAGAGAACCGCCTGTGTAAGACATTCTGATATCATCGCTGCACAAAAATGTTTTGAATACTGTACTGAAAAAACACAGGATAGGAGCATTTATTGAACAAGAACAGACTACTACAGTATAAACTAGTACAGTAATCCAAAAGAACCATTGAGGTAATAGCTTTCAACTAAGTCTTAATCAGAAAACAAATTTGCTTTATTCTCTTGGAAAAGCCAAAATGTACAACAGCAACCTCAAGCTTCAGTTAAGTCATCATTGAAGTACAGATGAATGGCAGGGAGGAATTCATCATCGTTCATACTAAGTGTGTAGAAATCTTCGTCCTCATCTTTTATATTGTTCTCGTCCAGCGTCTTGTTCATTTCAAGGTTCACACCATTGTATTTCCATGTGTAGCTACCGGCATGTTTATTCCACGTAAAGTAACGGTTCTGAATCTCGTCCATTGTTTCTTCAGAACAAACCTAGTTTAATGAAACACAAACTAGTAATATTAGTTTAGAATCAGTACATTATGATGACATTTATTAAATGGAAAAGCTCATTACTGGTAGGCATTTATAATTCGCTTCTTCTTTGCAGTTATAAAGCGCAGTTCTTTTTCCTGGTCATTGGGTCTACATGCTGTGTTGCTGCTGGTATTAGCGCAGGAGCAAAGGTACCCATTTATACTACCTGTGCGGAGAGAAGCAATGCAGATAAGGTGCCTTGCTCAAGGACACAGGCGAAATGCATAGCGAGGGATTGAAACCAAACCGTTCCTGCTGCGCCAAACTGCTTCCACAATTATCTTCCAACCCCTTCCCTCCCACTTTGCAATATGGGGATGAAGGATAAATCTAGCAAAACAATATAAAATTCCAACATTTTATAAATTTATGCATATATTTAACCAATTTAGTGGTATGTATTTGAAATATTTTTAGCATTCTCTCCATATAACCACTATTAGGCTATCAAGTTTACAGTTAATATTTGGTCTGGATTCATGTTCAGATGTTCAAATAGTTTTTTTTATCAAAGCCTGAAACTGAATACCCATCCTCAGGCAATTTCTTGAAACACTCTTTATGGGAAAGGTATAAAAAAATGAATGCAACTTTTACCTCTATCACATTCTCTTGTGAAGTCAGTGTATTTATTATCTTGATGAACCTAGTCTTCTCAGATAGGATACCGATGCAATATGAATCATCTTTCCACCAGGGTCTACCAAAGTCATTGGCCCAATCAGTCCTCGGACAAGTTGGAGGAATATGTATAAATCGGCCGTGTGGTGCATAAGGGAATGTGCAACCTGTTACAGGATCTACATGTGAACGTATCTAAAAGAAATATCAAGTGTTATTCTTAGTATTCCAGAAAGAACTGCAGCATTACGTTGTCTACTAAGGCAAGACTTTATTTATACCTTGTTTTGCAAACCCGCCGCCCTCCAATATGGATAATTTTAAATAAAAATACAATTTTATTTTTGGCCCAATCAGTGCACCCGCCACTGCGAAAAACTTAAAATTTCTGAAAAAAATAAATTTTTTCTTTATTTTATATTACACCTGCCACTGCTTTGAAATCTTCAAAAATAAGATATGTATATTTCTGCCTATTTATATAAATTTTAAAGCATTCAACTATAAAATTTTATTTTTATTTTATCCTTCATCGGGAGGTTTTAGTTACAACACTTTGCTAAACAAGAGAACAAAATTTTATTTTTATTTTTTCCGGCCACTTCTATCTCTAAAAAAGATAAGTTTGTGAAATAAGGAATAAAAAAAGTGTGGTCTAATGGTTAAAATACTTTAGCATTATTTATTTATAAACTTTAATTAAATACTTTATTACTAAACAAAATGGCTAAGCTAATATGAAATTGAAAATTAAAGGTAAACTAATCATTTAAGTATCTCAGTAAGTTATTAGCCTTTAAAAATTTAAGACATTTAAAACAAAAGTTGCTACAGTACTAGCTATTTTTGGCAAGTTGGCAGTAAATTCATTTGTATATTTTACGAGGCTTTTCTTAAACAGGACTGTTATATTTTGTCTAAAATTATATTCTGTATTAAACGTAGATAAATTATGTTTCTTTTTTCTTATTGTTTAATTTTTTAGTGTTTTTCCTACCTCTCTGGTATTTAAACTACAGTAATATGCATAAATTGTCACAAACAGAAAGCTCCCTAAATTTCATTTATTTGTATAAAATCACACACATGGTAATCAGCTACACAATCTATCATAGACCAATGCAAAGAATTCTGGGCAAATAGTAAGCAAGGGATTTAGGGGGAAAAAAAACTCTGCACAATAGAATCTTCAGCAATGCTAGAAAATCTGGACAAACTTACATCCTTTGACTTTTTATCGAACCAGTGTGTGATATCCTTGCCAGCTTCAGCAATGATTGGTTTCAAAAGAACATCTCCTACAAATATAGTAGTAATGGTATACTGTAAATTAAAAAAGGCAGTGTGCAGTATTGTTGGTGGTCACCTAGAACCAGAAGTGGGAATAACAAACAATTCCAAAGACACCAAAACAAAATAGAACGGATGTTTAAGCCAATTCATTTTTCTCTAGACAACAATTGCGAAGCCAAACCAGTCACTCATCGCAAATCCTGTTTTGAGAGATACTGTACTCGTGCGAATAAGCGCCCCGTTTGAATAAGCGCCTCTCTCGAATAACCGCCCCTCCTAACGTGAAAATTTCCTTAAGCGCCCTGTTGGAATAAGCGCCCTTCTAATATGAATAAGTTCCCCCTCAATAATATCATAAGATTTTCTTTTAGTCAATAATCCAATCAATCCTGAGACTGTGGTTGTTGGCATGATTTGAGCTGCAGAGTGGAAATACATTCTTCTTAGGTCAAAATGAGAGTATTTCTCTTGGACAGATGAGAGCTCCAATCTCTGGGACAGACAGTATATTTCTAACTTTACTCTTTTTACATACTTGTCTATGCCTAGTCATACTCCTCTTTTTCTGACCTTTAGCACATTCTCATCTGAGTTTTCAAGAAAAAAAACAATGATTCTGCCATCCTGCTAATCTCAACTGGCCCATGGCCAACAAGCTAGCCACTACCCACCACCACTAATTGCATTTGCTGACTGTTAGGTAAATATTCGAGCATTCTTGTCATGAGCCATGTTCTCTGGAGGATTATCTTTTACGCCGCACCACCATTCGTCATGTCTTTAATATTTTTTTATTCAAAAAATGCCTCTTGAATTTAATAATTTCCCATAAGAACCCCTCGATTTTTATCTATTTCCATAAGTGCCCCCTCAATTTATACCTTGTTTACATAAGCGCCCCGTTTGAATAAGCGCCCCTCAGAAAGTTAAAAAAAATATTTTTAGCGCCCGGGCGCTTATTCGCACGAGTACGGTATTGGCCAACTTAAATCTATTTTATTGCACTAAACTAACCTTTATCAGTATACATAATGGTATGCTGTTATTTTCCCCATTTTTAATGTTAAAACAACAATTTTTAACGATTTGGTGATGGTTTCTGCCTCAGAAATAGCCGAAATCATAAACTTTGAAGGCTGATTTCTCAAATATTCTTCTTTAAACAGCTTGAACTGCTTAAACGCTTGTAACTTCTTAAGGAAATGTCGGATTTAAATGATTTTTTTACCATTTTGTAACTCTCATTTCACTGTTGAACACTGTATTAATAACTAAAATTAGATTTTTGCGATGAGTGACTAGTTTGGCTTGACTGGAACAACTTGCCCCCCCCCCCTCAGTTGTTTCACAAGAAACCTGCAAAAATTTTAAAACCACAAGTAATGGTTAAGCGACCACTCTACCACCACACCTCCAGTTTAAACTCCACCATGATGTAGGGTCGTTTAGGCCCTGAGCGAGTCGATTCGGCCCTGGGTTGTATCGGCTCCAGTCGTTTCAGCCTTGAGTTGTTTCGATTATTTTGGCAGCAGTGTATGGAGCGCCGAAGGTGCGACTGCAAATAATGCTCTAACAGAATTGGCTAATCAGTGTACATTTGTTGAAATTTGGGCTACATTACTGCAACATTATTAGTTTATAAACAATTATTCTTAGTATTAAAGTTGATTGTATCAAATGGTGTTATCTTTCTTTTTGTAGAAACAATGCAAATGTTAAGTCAATTGGTTTGGAAAAATCCATTTTTTTTTCATAATTTCCATACAATAAATATATTTTGATCATGTGCATAAATGCTTCAAAGAAATTCAGATTTATGAAATAAGTAGACCTATTTTTTCATGTTTGTTTTCTTGTTTGCATCTCCATTTACATTACATTACAATGCATATAAAATAAATTAAAATATACTGAATGATGTGATAAATGAAAGTAAAGGAAATATAGTATTATTTTCATATTTATATTTTTCATGTAAAGAATAAATACATACAAACAATTCATATTAAACACAAAAAAATAGGCTACAGAACTAAAAAAAACCCACTAGTGCGTACTTAGCACTCCATACTGCGGCTGTTAATCGCAATCGAAATGCATACAAACAATACGGAAAACAATATTACAGCGAAGAAGTAATAATGTACAAAATAATGAATAACTTAACACCATCCTATTTAAGAAACAGATTTAAAGAATGCGAACAAAGACATTTTAAGTATTTATAAACCAAAAACAGAATATAAGAAATGAAGTTTCTCCTATCATGGTGAAAATATCTGGAATAGCCTAAATGATATAAAACCAAGTGCAATAACTGCCACCGACACAAAAAAGATTAATAAACCACCAACTAATACAAAACTAATGTTTAAAAATTATATTGTTACTTGAAGTATTAACAGCTCTTTTTTCATAAGTTTATTTTTTCAAAAATTTGTTTCAGTAACTTTTTACAGTGAAGTATTTTTTTAAGATTACAGTACTAATATTTTTACTTTTGCATATTTATTTCTATTATATCCCAATGCGTGAATTTCGATACTTAAGAGTTTGCATTATACTTATTTGTATTATGTTAATGAAATTTACAATCAATGTGATTTCAAATTTTCCCTTTTTTTTGGACTTATAATATATATTCTCTGTTTGCTTTAATGATTGTTACTTTAGTTTCACTTTGTATAATTTGTAATTAATTAATTTGTAGTCAAAACAGTCTTGTGAAAAACACAATTTATGTGACAAGTTTCTCCGTTTGTAAATAAAGTTGTTATTATTATATTGTTATAAGTGCCAACAAATCTCTCATGATCTTTCATCAGCGATTATCGGCAACCATAGAGATCAAATTAGTATGTGTGATGTGCCATAGAAAATAAAGCTTAAGACACTGTCTTCGATGTATTTACTTATACTTTACCTACTTCAGAGCAGTGAGTCTACACCTATTCCAGCCCCACCATGGATGAGGCTGAGAGTGTGAAAATTTTAAGATAATACCTCAAGCTGGCCGGAAATAACTCTCTTCTTATAATTATAGTAAGTCATCATCATAACATCACCATGATCTTTTATCAGAGATTTTCGGCTATCATAGAGAACTAATAATCTATATTGTACTACAGAAAATAAAACTTAATTGTTTTTGATGTATTTACATTTCTTTACCTACTTCATGTGCCGAAAATCTTATACAGTACTGTACTAAGGCTGTACAGCGCTTTTTCTTTTAAATTAAAACCTGGTTCATTTTTGCAGTTATTTCAGGCATCATCTTTATTACTTATGAAATTACATTGCTGTCGAAACACGGGGGGGGGGGGGGATCTGCACCCATGCTCACTGTGACGATGCTGACAAGAATGAAAATTAAATTTTTTTAATTAAAGGCTAGGCCTACTATGGCCTAGGCTAGGAGGTCCAATAAATAAAAAGGAGTATCATGGTCCATGGAAACCTTCCCTCCTTTTAGTAGGCTAGCTAGCTAGTAGGTCTAGGCCGCCTTCTACTATCTATGTATGGCCCTACCTACTAATAATAGTACTACACCCACCATGCACATCATCATAGCCACAGAGCCTAGTCCTACCCTACATATTCTCAGTCTCAGACAAACAAATACTTATTCCCGTGCTCACACTTGATTGAACCTTATTTAGATAGTAGGCTTAGCCTAGGCCTGGGGACCCCTAGGCTTACCTAGGTACTTTACCCTACTTACTACTACTAGGCCTACTACTACATACTAGGTCTAGGGCCTAGTCCTAGTAGGCCTAGCCTACACTACTCTCTAGGCCCTAGTAGACTCTACTAGCCTAGGCCTAGGTAGGTAGGCCTAGGCCTATTAAATATTATTTCCTTACCTGCATATTTTTCACATAATAATGACAAGTCGTAAACTTTGCCCAAAAATGATACCCAAATATCTTTTAAAGTACTGTGGATAAGGACTTCGTTAGGAGTAAAATATCTTGGCCTCATTTTACCATTTATTATGTAAAATCAAACATTCGAAATCATTCTCCCTTTTGCGTTGTTTGTATCGTCTTGACAACACTAAGTAACTTTTGACCTTTCCAAAATCGCTGGTACTTTAAGATTATTTTGCTTATAAAAACTAAATAAAAAAAGAGCACGTTGTATAATTTTCTAAAAGTATTTTGTAAAAATATAATAAAATAGGCCTAGTATCAGTATATTAACAAGGTGATAAGAATTATCATACAATAATGTTTTAAGCCATTGTGTACCTAAGGAATGACAGAGGCTATGCTGGGATTTTCCCTTATTTCCGCCACAC